AGACATCTGGGAAATGAAAGTCAAAACAGGTCTGAGATACCATGTTACTCCTGTCAGAATGGCTAAAATAAAATCACCAAGGACAGTTTATACTGGAGAGATTGTGGAGAGAGGGGAACACTCCTCCACTGCTGGTGGGAATGCCAACTCCTACAGCCACTTTGGAAATCTGTATGTAGATTCCTCAGAAAAATGGAAATAAGCCTACCACAAGACCCAGCAATTCCACTCTTAGGCATATTATCCAAAAGATGCACATTCATACAACAAGAACATTTGTTCTACTATATCCATACATCATTATTTGTAATAGCCAGAACTTGGAAACAACCTAGATGCCCCTCAACTGAAGAGTGAATGTAGGAAATGTGGTGTATTTACAAAATGGAGTACTGTTCAACAGAAAAAAAAATGGATGGCACTAGAAGAAACCATCCTGAGTGAGGTAACCCAGTCACAAAAAGACAAACATGGTATGTACTCTCTCATATATGGATTTTAGACATAGATCTGGGGATTGCCAGCCGACAATCCCATGGCCAGAGATCTGAGGAACAGAACCTTCATCCAAAGGCTGATGGAAGCAGAGCCAGACTCCCACAGCTAAACACTGAGCTGAACTCAAGGAACCCAGTGACAGAGAGGGAGGACTGATGAGCAAAGGGGTTAAGACTGGGCTGGTTTAACCCTCAGAAACAGCTGACCTGACAAGGGTTACCTCTTGACACCCAGACTGATGGCTGGGAATCCAGCATGGGACTGATCAAGACCCCCTGAAGGTGGGTGTCAGGAGGAGGCCTAGACCATCTATTGGGCCTTGGGTAGTAGATCAGTATTTATCTCTAGCATACAAACGGACTTTGGGTGCCCATCTAACAATGAGAGATGCACTCTTAGCCTGAACTCTTGTGGGAGGGTCTAGGCCTTGCCCTGGCTGAAATGACAGACTATGGACACCCCCATGGAGGGCCTCACCCTCCCTGAGTTAATGAGAAGGCATTAGGGGATTGGTGGGAAGGCATGGGAGGAGGGAGTGAAAGGGAGAGGAACCTGGGATTGACATGTCAAGCAACCTTGTTTCTAATTTAAATTTAAAAATAAAAAATAAAAAAGAAGAAATCCTGCTACAAAATCATAAGTAGCACCTTAGTGCCTAGATAGTTAATTTGTAAAATATGTACTGCAGTTATTTTACAGAAGGTACATGGCTTAATCACTGGACTAAAGAGTTTTTCAGGCATTAATTGGCTGAAGTGATTGTCAGTACTTGTGGTAATTTCACATATTGGGTTTTCCTGAAATTTATTTATTCGTATTAATTCAATACACTTAGCTTCCACACAAGTAACAATGATGTGACATGAATATTCTAATTTATCAACTAATCATTGATTATAAAAGTTCCAATGTCACCTTCATGTAAAGTTAATTGGGATGCTTATAAAATTTTTCCACTTGCTAAAATACATCTGCCAAAAATGGGAAATATATGGTGTGATGATTGAATTATTTCTTGAAAGTTTTAGCCTCAGACTATTAGAAAACACAGAATATAGAAAAATAAATCTGATAGTGTAGGTAAAGAAGACAGTAGACTATCAATACTAGGAAGCAGAAAAGACAGTGAATGGGCATGACAAGCTGTGAGCTTTCAGGTTATAAATATCCCACAGGGTGGACATTCCTAAGGCATACTGCAGCAAGTCTACTATCTATCACTTTTATTGTGGAACATGCCAGAGGAAAATCTCAATTTTTTATGAATTATTATTTTAATATAAATAATCCAGATGCAAGTATACACTGTGAATCTAACAGTAGTTCAAAGCTTTGTTTAATCGATTATTATATATAATGTTGATTTGGAAAACATTACAAAAGATCTTAAAATCCATGTCCGTGTTTATTATTTACTTAGACATCGTTTTGTTTTGAGTCAGTGTCTTATGTACTCCTGTCTAGCTTGGAACAGGTTATGGAGGGACACCCTGACCTCAGACTCAGAGATTCGCCTCCCTCTACCTCTTGCATTCTGAGATTAGAGGTCATGCTATACCACTATGCCTGTATTTAAATGTTGTTTCTATATTCTTTCCTTCCAGCTCTTTTACTTTTTCAGTTTTCTATGTTCTATGGAACTCAATTAACATCATGGTCTTTTTTTCCATAATGCATAGATTTATTTGGCTTTAGTGACATTCCTAATGGATTGTGCTTTTCAAACAAATTAAATGAATAGCTATCGAATATTCCTAATTAGAAAAAAAAGTCTTTGTGGTACATGAAAGAGGGGAGTTTTATTACAGGTCTATACAGTGTTCTACAGAGTTAGAAAATCATTCTACTACCTTTACATGAATAATAAAAATATAGAGAAAAACATGAAATCTATCATTCTATTTTGTTTGAATAAAGAAGGGTAACAAGATATTTAAGGTTTTTGTTTGTTTGTTATTTGGGTAATGATTTAGTCTATTTAAATCCATTTGCTATCCTAGGCATAGCAACTTATATCAAATTATGATGATAATCAATGCATCTGGAAGAGTGGAGACTTCCCCAGAGAAATACTGTTCTCTGCATTATTTTAATTTCCATATTCAATTCTGATGGAATTGATTCAGCTCACAATCAGAAACATACTATGAGGATATAAAGGATCCAGTATCAGGGGCTGTGGACATGACATAGTAGTTAAGAGCATTTGCTGCTCTCATGCTCTCATTGGGAATTGGCATTTTACTCCGTCACAATAGCCTGTAATTTAAGCTCCAGTTGAAATTTTAGCCTCTGCAGGCCACAGCACACAGTTTCAAACTCTTCAATACTAAAGAGGCAGAGGTCAGAGGATCAGATGATGAAGACCTTCCTTGTTTCAAAACAAAACAAGTAATTCTCAAATTCTATAAACAACTATAAGAAGAAATGTTTCCATATAAAACAGTTCAAGAGAACTGGACTTGTTATGGACGCTGCTCTCTTTATGCATAATAGATTATTATGTTGTCAACCACTTATTAGACAGACATTTCCTGATATTTAGATTATGTAGTAGTTAGTAACTGACATCTATATTTTGGTCATATATTCTTTAAATATGTATCAGCTTGCTTTTTATAATTTTCTTTGTATTTTTACCTACATTATTTTAATTATTATAGAAATTCTATTTAAAGAGAGGAACTCATTTTTCTTTCTGAAATTGTGTTGCCAGAGATATGAAGCTAATATTATTTTATCCCATTTGTTGGGGAAGTCCTGTGTATATGTCAATAAATTACTGCTGGCCAATAGGAATCTAGATAGGTGGGGCTAAGAGTCCAGGAGGATTCTGGGAAAGAGAAACACAAGAGAGTCGAGATGTAACGCCATTGGGCTAGGAATCCCGGAAACCTCTCCGGTAAGAGACATACTTAGATTAACAATTATGGAGTAATTACTTAAGTCAGAGCTAGCCAGTAAGAAACAAGCAAGGCCAACAGCTTCATAATTAATACAGCGTCTTGTGTGTTATTTGGGGACTACAATGCGGCAGAGCCCAGGCGGCTGGCAGGGGATAAACCAAAGCGGCTAGCAAGATAAAGCTTCTCTTAACACCCATTCAATCTGATTTTAAATCAGTATTAGACATTACAGAAAGTCTTCAAATACTTTCTAACCCGTGTTAGTGAAATCTTCTGTCCCTCATGCTGTAATGCCATCGTGAACTGTGCAACAAAAAAAAATGTAGTACCAATGAATGTTTTTGTACTTACCTCCAAATGATTGCTTTATACAACTTGCTGATAATTGCGTACAGTGTTAGATAGTTTCTGGGTAGCAAAATGTTAGGTCAGTATCCATAATACTTTTGGAAAGTAATTTTAAACACATTGATGAGGCTGCTCAAATGTGAATGATGGATTACAGAAGATAAATGATTATTTTCTTATATTTTCCAGGTATACTGTGAGTTCATGTGTTTTATATTAACTGATTTTGATGTGCTTGTTACTTTAATTTTATATAAAATTAAACAAAGGATATAGTAGTTCCTTTAAAAATCAATTGCGCAAATGAAAGTGATTAGATTCATTCTAGAAAAATCTGTGTTCAATATGTTGGTTTGTGGTCTTTAAGAATTTGATTAACTTAGCCAGGTGTTGGTGGCACACACGCCTTTAATCCAAGCACTCAGGAGGCAGAGGCAGGCAGATCTCTGTGAGTCCAAGAGCAACCTGGTCTACCAAGCGACTTCTAGGATAGGCTCCAAAACAATACAAAGAAACCCTGTCTCAAAAAACAACAACAACAAAAAAAGTATTTGATTAATCTTTAGTTAATAGCTAATGTCCACTTCTAAGTGAGAACATACCATGCTTGTCTTTCTGGTCTGGGTTACCTCATTCAGGAAAATTTTTTTCTACTTCTATTCATTTGCCTGAAAAATTCATGTCGTTTTATTAAGAGCCAAGCAATACTCCATTTTGTAAAACTACCACCTTTCTAGTAGAGTCTCTTTGGTGGAGAGACATCTAAGTTGTTTCCGGTTTCTGGATATTATGAATAAAGACACTACGAGCATAGTGAATCTAGAGAAAGGGAGGGGATCTGGGAAGTGAAGGAAGTGGAACCTGGTCGGGATATAATGTACGAGGGAAGAATCTGAGGAATAAATGAGAACACTACTTAAAAGCGAATCTGTCTCTTTGCTCTTTTTCTACAAAGGAAAGTGAAAGAAAGGAAAGAGTATGAAACCAAGTATTAATGTTACTAATATACTATTTGCAATCACATCAGAAATTTGAAGAAAATTTGGTGCTTATGTGTGTTTTCTGTTGAAATATCTACAAAAAGCAGATAGTTTATTAAAATAAAACTTCAGATATATACTAGATATTGGTCATTATATTTTGTTTTTCAGATTAACTAAAATATTTGTTGTAGGATATATCAACTTACCATTCTTTTAAATGAAAATACATACCCCAAGAGTACAGAATATGTGCAGCATGCTGACATCAATTGTATTTTTTGTTTTATTTAAATTTCATATTTCTTTCATGAGTTCTTATTTTGTTCTTTTAGAAAAGATGCCCCATAACCTCAAGAAAGCTGGCATTAACAGTGTTTTTGGTCAGAGAATAAGAAGAAGTTGTAAAATATACATAGACAAGGTCTGTGTGATAAGTAACAAAATATTTTACTATATACTCTAATAAAAATGAAAATTAAGTTTATAGAAAAATAACCAAATGTAGATCAATCCTTAGTTAAGAGACAAAAATGAAAAAATATTTCAAAGGAAACATTATGAAAGTTCTCCACATCAGGTGTATTTTAGTGAGTATCAGAAATAAATGCATCTATTTGTCAGGTGTAGCTTTGAGTATGTTTTATACCCTTACATTAAAGCTTTTGAATTCTATAAGTTTTATTTTATCAACACTGGTAAGATGTAGCTTTTCATCTTTTTAAATTATTATACAGAATTTGTGTGACTTTATTAGAATTGGAATGAGTGATGACAAAGACTGGTAAGGTTTATGTTCCTTGTACTTTGGCTTATAATTGTTTAATTTTGATATATGTTTACTGAAATACATTAGTATTTTTTAGGAACAAGTTTTCATGGCAACTTTAATGATAACTTTCTCAGTTTTAAAATGAAGCTGATAAACATCTTTCAGCCATTCTGCTCTTCACCATGAGAAACGAACAGGATGCAAACAACCCTCTTATTTGGGTTTTCAGAAAAGATGATCAGAAGGAACCTTCAACTCTTTCCATAAAAACATCCTGGAGAATTTTCCCCAGGTTCCTACAAACTCATTTCATGGGAAAAAAAAAGAATCCCACAGCACTTCTTGTTAATAACTGTTCAGCTACAAAATTTTATTGGTATTTTTTTATGTTCCCTCTAGAGGATGTAATGCACAAAAGCGTTGCCACGGAACATATAAAATTACAAATGAAATTTATTGTAAAAAGTAGAATGTCTTCTAGACTGGTGTCAGTATTTATTTCATTCATAAACCAAAACTGTAGTATAATATATTCATTGTCAGCAAGTTCATGTGTGTAAATTGCCATCCAACGTTATTGACTGATATAAGACAGATATTGAAAAGACAATTTAAATTTACTTTTCCAAACATATACTGTTCCACAAAAGCACTGTAAAAACTCCTTCAAAGTTTTGGGTTGTGCTTGACATTTACGGTTAACTACATAATTTGGTTGTGTCATAATCCACTGTGTTTGGTAATTTGGCATTAAATGCCTGCAGAGCAGATTGAATTCTCACCACCTCACTAGTAGACAGCTTGAGTCTATGACGAAGCAAGCAAGAGAAAAGATCTAGACGGCGCTGACCAGGTGGGGAGAGTTTATTTACACGGTCTCTTATCTCTAGTAGCTGCAAAAGTGCCGAGTCCTGGGATCCCTGAGTGTAGGGGTAGTCCAGCTGCAAAATCAGGTCCCGGATAGCTTCAGGGTCAAAGTGCATGCTGTAGCCAAACACTTGGATGTTATTGATTTTCATGTAGCCCAGGTTCCGGGATGGGTCAATAAACTCCAAAGGCTCATAGTAAATACTCTCATTGCTGTTGGGGCCATTTGCCTTGATGCGACTCCTCAGGTAGATGTGTACTGTCTCAAAAAATGTCTTCCATTTGTTTCCCAGAGTCAGTGTCCAGTTATAGCACTGTAGTGGGAGGTCCAGCTTAGTCCGCTCCCAGTCTGGAAAACTGCTCTCACTCACTGGCATAAACCAGCTCTCTGAATGGCTGCCACCGAAGGGATTGATGTAAACAGCCAGCACTGGCTCCAACGTGCTGTTTTTAGTTAAGCAGATCTGTAAAGAGAGTCCCAGGATCATGTGAACCAGACTGGACTTGTACTTGTTGCTTTTCAAGGTCAGGAGCATTCGCTTACGCCAGGAAGGGTCAAACCAGCTATTGAGGCGCATGTCATTGCTGATGAAGATGGCATGGACTTCTATTCGTCGGTCGGTTTTCTGCAACAGGTATTTCATCTCCAGGTCTTGCAAGTCAGTCTCAAAGCCAATGTAGTGATCGGTTGACTCTGCAACTTCAGGCTTGCAGAGTCCCTGGCTCAGCATGTAGCCCGTGTTGCAGGTGCCACAGCGGGTACGGTTGTCAGGTGCACAGGTCAGGCAGGCAGAGGCATCGCCCACGGTACAGGGCAGAAAAGATGTGCACACTACCTGGTCGTTGGGACAGGTGCAGGAGTGCGTCTCCTCAGAGAAGCTGCCCAGGAGACCGTTCTCATTGCAGTAGAGAAAGGACTGGATGCGAGTGAGCCAGTAGGTTGAGGTTCTAGAAATATATAAAAGAAAAAGCAAGTCTAAATAAATACTTCGATTCTGTGTGAGTCTGTGCATTTAAGTGTGTGTACTTGTACTGCCATAAAGTAAAGCCCAGATCACTACTCCCTGAACTTTTTGCCCAACCTACAAACAGTAATAATATGAAATAAAGATTCATTACACACACACACACACACACACACACACACACACACACACACACACATATACGGGGGTGGGGGAGAGACAGACAGAGACAGAGAGAGAGAGAAAGGGAGGGAGGGGAGGAGGGAGGGAGGGAGAGAGAGACACTCATGAAAAAGAAAAACAATTGAAACTAAAATTTTTTTCTCTTAATTTTTACTCATATCAAATCCAGAAACTATTAGATTGTTTGAAACATGGTATGAATTACAGATGTTGGACAGTGGATCCTACAGGAAGTCATTAGGTCATGAGAAAAACATGCTCAGTAATGAGTTTATTCCATCATCGCTGAGAGAAAATTCCTTGTAAAAAACAAACAAACAAGTTTAACCTCCATGCTGCCTCTTGGCAGCAGCAGCACCACCTGCAGCAGCAATAACAGCAACAGCAATCTCTCCATAGGCTTGCCCCTGGCCCTTGGATTCCTGGCTGGAGAACTGTGAACCACTCAATTTATTTTCATTATTTAGTAGGCAGTCTGTAGTATTCTGTTTTAGAACTGCTGCTGAACTAAGAAAAATCATTTCTGAGTTTTTCTAAATACTTTTAAGATAAGTTCTCTGAAAAGTTCATCTACAACTGTGTCTAAATGTTAGGAAAGTTATGAGGCTCTGTGTAACAGGATGTGAGATTCCAAGCAGCTATTGTCCCTCTTATTCCACTTTTTACGCTCCGTTCCCTGTATTGTTGCCCCCCATCTTTCGCTTCTGTTTTCTTTCTTCTCTCCCTCTCTTTCTCACGCTTCAATCTTACTTCTCTTCCCTTCCTCTGTGTTCTACTTGCTTATTTAGTTCTTTCTCTACATTTCTCTCTAACACATAGTCTATAAAACATATATCCCATCTGGATTGAGAATTGTATTTTCTTACTTGAAAGCAAAGCATAAATCCTTGGAACAAACTCATCTCTTGCCATAAACTCGAATCAGGTTTTGAGATCATAAGGACACATAAATTGCCCTGATGCTAAACGCTGAGAACACAATAGTGTGATAGAAAGAATGGTTAGGACAATGAGAAAAAACAATTATTTTCTTGTTATGTACACATTTCCTCCAAGCACATAGACTGTTCTTTCACAGACATATTGAAGAAAGAGTGTCTTAATTTTCTTGCTTTTTGGCTTGTCATGAAAATACTCACAGATCAGCAGTCAGTCAACCCCTGCACCTGCTGTGGAAATTCAAGGGGAGCTGTCTCTCAGCCTCTTGTCCTTTCCCCTACTAACTACCCTTAGACCACTTAGCTGAATTTCACAGGGAAATGTTCAAGGAAAAAGAAATTCGATAATCTTTCTTTTCTTTTCTCTCAGTGAAATATTTTTGTAAGCAGCTGTCAAAATTGGGTGCTCAGAAACTTTCAACATTGCATAGTGGATTTTTCAAATGTGCTCAAAAGTTCACATAGTTTTTCCAAAGAGAGTCAAATTCAGTTTTTGTTACATAGTTCTGTAACTTTAAAATAGGTTTGAATGAAATATCTTCAAAAATTCCAGGGTAGAGTATGTTTTTCATATTTCTTTTTTTGCCAAAATAGTAAGCAAATAAAGTAATACTATCCATTGCTGATGCATATTTACACACACACACGTTCACACACGGATCATTGATGGATTTTTACACATGCATGTAACCTATGATTTCCTGGGTAACGACTATGTAGTTTTCTTATCACCTTGGTAGGAAACAGGATGGTCTGCAGCTTTTTAATCACGTGTTTGTCATTGGTCTTGACATTTCCTCAAATGCCCTTTAGGATAAACAGAGGATGAAATGATGGGAGAAAACATTGGGAGGGAGGAATGGAAGATAAAGAATTCAATCATAGGAAAGAAAGTATAGATTGCAAAAAACAGAAGAAATAGGCATGGAAACAAATGTAGGAAAAAACAATCAAAGCAATTAGTACCTAAGTGCAGGAATAGTATAACGGATAGGGATCACTGCCCATCAAGAAGAGAGTTTTCTTTGTAAGCAATTTTTTCACAGAAATTTGGAGAATAGTATTACAAGGAGGAAATGGCATCCCAAGTTAATCTCAAGTCTATTTAGGCATAAAAATATTAGTTGAAACCCAGGGACTATACTCACTTGGAAAAATATGTGTTTTGCCATAAAAATTGGCTTTAATAAATAAGTTATGTTTTTTTTTTATTTTTTGAGACAGGGTTTCTCTGTATTTTTTTGGAGGCTGTCCTGGAGCTCACTCTGTAGACCAGGCTCGCCTTGAAGTCACAGAGATATGCCTGCCTCTGCCTCCCAATTGCTGTGATTAAAGTGCACCACCAATGCCTGGCTAATAAGTTATGTTTTGTTCCACAAATGTGAGTTTACTGTGTCATGAAAACCTCATATAATGGAATAGTTGCATTGCATGCATTAATAAATAACACTAAAAAATTCCTAAAGTTAATTTGTGAAATTTTATTACAGTTTAAATATTGAAAACTTATAGTCTATACATTTTAATGACTTAGTGGCATATGTCTCAAAACAATTAAAATGAACATAAACTCGTAAAAGGAAGTATAAATATTTTAAAAATAATTTTAAGATTATAATTAAAATGGTATTGTTAAAATGAGTTTTGAGAATGTTCACTATTCTAAAAAGGAAAAATGACTAACTAATAACCATAGGAAAACTATTAATTTATTTACATACAAGACATCTAAGATGCATAAAATAATATCTATTTGTGATTCTGTATGTTGACTCTGGCAAAATTCAGGAGGTTTGAGTAAGAACATATTCTTAGGAACCAACTGTCAACCTTGAATCATATTTTATTCAGCTTATATGGAAAAAAACAATAAAATATGTCAAAGGTTGTTTTAAGAATCAAGTACATTGCCAGCAGGGTAGATAGAGAACATACAGAATTAATAGAAAAGAAATGTAAAATCTTATTTATGTGATCATTACTGCATGATACTACCACAACTTTAAAAAAATAAATTTGTAGGTAGTATCTTTATGAAAACTGAATTTCCCCTGGAAAATGAGTATTTCATTTCTTTTACAACTAATGTCTCCATGATTTATATTACACAGAATCTCTGCATCCCTACTGTTAAATTTCATTCCAATAGGCACTCTTTCATTAACTGAGACTTGACTCCAAAATGCATGCTGTCTCCATGTGATGCTTGCAAAGCCCTCAAAGTTTGTGCAATTCAGCACATAAATTGTAGATGCTAACATTTTTCACTGAGGTATTAGAACATGTGTTGATACAAAAACAATTACCTCCTCTCATGGTTAAATCCTCTCTGAGTACTAATAATCTTATTTCAAAGGTCCTTTATTCCAGCCTTCTAATCCTTTATTGCTTTCCAAGTCTGTGCAATGTGTACCTAAATTTTTAAACCTAAACAATATAATTTCCGTATCTCTTTGAAATTAAGGATTACTCTTTCAGGAATGCCATTTCATTTCAGCTTTCATAGATTCGTCCTTCTTAGACCTTAATACCTTAAACTAAATATAAATTCTGAGGATTAAACACCCACAGCCATTTAAACAATCATAAGCTGATTGTTAGCTCAGTCACACAGAGATCAAGCCAGGAAACGCTCTGTCACTCTCCCTTCCTCACTCCATTGCTCTGGACATCGCAGCCTTGGCAGTGTTGCCCTGGGCTCAGGCTGACACTTGACACGCAACAGCTTTGCTTTTGGAGATAATTTTACACTCTAAGGAAAGGAAATTTTATTTTCAAACTCTTCTTTCTCGGTGACTTTTGCAGAGAGATGGTAGGGGGAAGTGGGAGGGAGGGAAGCAGGAACAAGGACAGACAGGGACAGACAGAGCAAGAGACAGACAGAGATAGAGAAAGAGACAAGGACAGAGTCAGAGATGGAGTAAGAGATAGATTCAGAGATGGAGACAGAGAGACATAGACAGGGACTGACAGAGATGGGGACAGACAAAGACAAGGACAGAGACAGAACCAGAGAAAGAGACAGGGACAGAGACTGAGTAAGAGACAGAGTCGGAGAGAGACAGAGACAGGGACACAGACAGACAGGGACAGAAAAAGACAGAGGGGAAGATGCAGTTTCATTCAAAGATAGCATACCATGAAGGCAATATCATGGAACCTTTCTCATGTATTGTCTCTTTTATTTAATCTTTTTTTTTTCGACCCAAATTTGAAAACAGGAAAATCAAAAAAATGTGAGCTTTTAAATTAAAATTAGCTTAGGATAATATAATAATATTATAATATATTAAAATATATAATAATAAAATAGCCCTTTAAGACATTTCGTTCAGATGAAGGCCTCAGGAACACTATTGAATACCTGCTAAAATGAACGCCTGGGATCTACTCTGAACCCATGAACTTATTTCCTCATCCCAACCAGCAATAATTAGTCACTTCAAAGATTGTAATACTCTTTAAAAATTCTCTTTCACATATATATATATATATGCATATATATATATATTCCCCACCCCTGTTCAAATGATCAGTTCAATCCACAGTAAGTTTTCCCATGGAAAATTAACTATCAATTTTAAGCATTTTAGACTCATAGTCTTACTACTCTGTGGACCTCATGAATCCTTTTGCTTTTGCCTTGTCTGTGCCCCATTCCCTCTCGATCCCGTATGCATCAGCAGAGAGGGCATTTTCTCATCTGTGATGACATAACTATTTTCCTTTTTAGAATTTTTACTAGATTGCAGGCATTTAGTGTGTCACAGAGTAATGTAGGGTAAGGTGGCCCTTTATTTCTTCAGCCTGTTGTCTGCTTCTTCTCTAATTACATTCAATTAACTATTCATTTCATGACCCT